AACGGGTCATTTCAGTTCAGATTGCAGAAATAACTGGAAATTTAGCAACTATCCCCAAAACAATTCATCAAGAGAAATTTTCGGCACATTTAGAGCCAAATTAGGTCAACATAAGCCGGAAAATAAGTTCAGGCAAAATCACCAAAATATTGAAGCCAGTTCTTCCACTCAAAATAACTCTATAAAGAAAAATCTCCGCCCACCGCCACCTCCGCCGCGCCGTTCTAAACCATCAAGAACGGTTTATGCAAATCAAACTGTAAAATTTGAAAATGAAGAGCCTGAATTTTGGGACTCGGATGATTTTCAAGATTTTTTTCCGAATTCTATGGAGAATAATGAATATGATAATGATAACGAGTTTAATGATAATAATAATAACAAAATAGCCGAATAAAGATTTGGCAGAGGCGCATTTAACTCCTACGCCGTGTGCCTAGATAATTCAAAATTGGGTAACAGTGTAAATGAAGGTACTTTTTCTAATGTTTCAAGGGAGGGCGCTAGGGATAACCATCGTTTTTTTTCTTGTCAAATCAATGGAGTTGAAAGTTTCGTTTTTTTTGATGGGGGTACTGCTAGTTGTTATATTGTTTCTTCTATTGCTTCAACTTTTCCTTCAAATTGTTTTAACCTGTCTTCGTGCCCAGTACAACTCCAGAGAGTAGGGAAGTACCTGGGCCCAACTGTCCATTATGATTGCAAGGTCTCAGTTGACTTCAAAAATGGATCAAAAGTACAAATTATTTGTGGAGTAGTGCCTGATGGAACATTCCCAGCACCTTTAACAATTGGAAGGTCGGTTTTGCATAACTTGGGTTTACTTTACATACCAGATTCAGATTGTGTTCAGTTTACAAAGGTTACTGGATCCCCAGTATTGACACCGACTCCCAGAGATAAGTTAGATCTGACAAATGTTACAATCTGGGCTGCCACAAATATTCCCCAAGATCAGTTTTCAACTCAAAATAATTACTCGAAAGAACTAGTTGTCAATCCACCTCCAAATGTCAGTTTTAGGGAGCAGCAATCAATTGATAAGTGTATTCAACACCTCAAAACTAGATTCCTCTTACTTTTTGATTCGACGAAAGTTTCAGGAAGTGCTACACGCGCAACCGGTGTTAAACACGATGTCATTTTGAACACTTCATCCAACCTAAAGTCCGCTCCAGGTAGATACTCTCCTCAAGACACTCGCATTCTTAAGGAATCTGTCGACGCCGGCATTAAGGATGGAGTTCTCTACAGTGGTCAAAGTCCATTTTCTAGTCGTGCAATTTTAGTTCCGAAAGACGGCAAGCCTAAAGGACGAATGGTTATAGATTTCCGGCAAATTAACAGTCATACTGAGAAGTCAGCTTATCCTCTACCAGTCGTTCAAGATGAAATACGCAAGGCTTCAGGTCATAATTTTTATATAAAGCTTGACCTTAAATCAGGGTTCTACCAAATAGAACTCACCGAGCAAGCACAGAAAATCTGTTCTTTCGTCACCCCTCAAGGTCAGTATCTATTCAGAGTCATGCCTTTCGGTCGAACGAACGCGCCCGCCACTTTTCAAAGAGCGATGGACGAATGCCTTCAACCAGTTCGTAACATTACTTCGAACATGATTGATGATGTGATAACCTGGGGTAATACAGTTGAAGAAACTACCCGTAACGCTTCTTTGGTTATGGAACGTTTAGATTCGTGTGGATACAAATTGAATCCTAGAAAATGTGCTTGGTTCGTGACACAAACTAAGTTTCTCGGACATATCATAGACAGGCACGGTATTCAAGTAGATCCTTCCAAAATCCAGACAATTCTCGATAGACCTATTCCAAGGACAGTGACAGAAGTTAGGGCATTTCTCAACTCTTGTAATTACTTTAGGGACTACATTAAACTATTCAGCACTCTAGCAGGTCCTTTGTACAGCCTTACTTCAATAGAGGGGAAGAACGTCCCAGTGTCTCTTAATGATGAGCAAATCGCGTCCTGGAAAGCCACGAGAAACGCTTTAATTACTATCCCTATTTTAAAACCAATGGACCCCCAATTGCCAGTCGTTCTTGATGTTGATGCTTCAGAAAAGTACACAGGCGGAGTGTTACTTCAACCAAACGAGCAATTAACTCCTATCCTTCGCATAAAACTGTCACAACCAACAATGGAGGGCGCTCATTTGAATCCAGTAGCATACACTAGCCATAAACTCAACCCTACACAGCAGAGGTATTCTTTTCAAGAACGGGAAGCACTAGGAATAGTGCAGGCTCTACAAACTTAGCAACATTGGATAGAAGGGTGTGATATTATCATTAGGACGGATCACGAAAGTTTAGCTGGAATCCGAAAAAAATCAAACTTACCACAATGAATGCAACGGTTTATAGATATACTTGAACACTTCGATCCGACAATTGTTTACAAAAGAGGCAAGTCGAATCATTTAGCAGATTGGCTTTCAAGACCTCCAATGACAGTCACATCATTCCCAATTAGAAATTTCGACCCTGTTCATAATGATGCAGCATCATCTTTTCATTTCAAGATTCCTGATATCGAAAAATTATCTTGGATCGACTTACAATCAATCGGGGAGCATCTGCTACACAAAACCCCTCTTCCAAGTAATCTTCCCGAGTCTTGGGTCAAGAAATATTTCTCTTCTCACGATGGTAATACGTACAGGTTTTATAACAATAAATTTCTGAAGATACTTCACTACGGTGAACTCGTCAAGGCTCTTATCAAGTTGCATGAAGATAATACACATTGTTCTATTGGTACGTTAATTAGAGAGTCACGACAAAGTTTCTGGCATTTAGATATTGTTTTAGCTGCTCAAGAAGCCTATAAAACTTGCCCTCGATGTCAGATCATGACACAACCTGTCGATATACATTCGCAGGATACTCTACGTCCAGTACAAGTATCTCCACTATTCACAAGATGGGGGATGGATCACACAAGTCCGGTACGCCATAGATCACGCAACTTCATATGCAATGGTGATATTGACTCAGTCTCCAAACACGGCATCCTGATTAGAACTGACGCGCCAAATCAACGTAATTTTCGGTATTAAACAACTTGTGACAGACAACGGTCAAGCCTTCGTGAGCAAAGAGATGTTTTCCTTTTGCAAAGATAAGTCGATCGAGCATAGTTTTACTAAGCCATATCGTCCAGAAACAAATGGCAAAGTAGAAAGATTCAACGGCATCATTAAAGGGATATTCTATACTGTATCCTCGATCAACTCTTCTCGTAGTATCCAGTGGATTCTAGATCAGACGCTCAGCATATACAATCGACGTCCCAACTCTACCGGTTACGCCCCCGTGTTCCTAGCTCTAGGAGTAACACACGAAGAACTACCAAGCCCCTATGTGCGAGAACTGACTTCATCTGAAGAAGCCGCTTTTGCAACAGACCTCGTAAAATTGTACAATCCTAAAGTGCAAAATGCACGCATAAATGTTGCAACTGGAAAGGCTGCCAGAGATGAAATACGTTTATACCTTCAAGAGAGGAAGGCACGGTTGAGAGTTTTTGGTAAAGGTGAGGATCCTGAATTCCAAGTCCGAGCGTAACGCCAAGTCTTACGGCAAGCGAGCCGCTGAGCTCCGAGTCTAGGCGAGACGCCGAAGCCCCGATCCTAGGCGAGCCGCCGAGTTTGAGGTTCCATCAAGAATGCACCCCTCGCATTCTTTGGTCACAATTCGGGCGGCTAAGCACCTCACTCCTCTCCTACTGTATTCTGATAGTTTACTTGTCATGTATCATTGATCGTTGCATTATCTGGAGTATAGAGGAATTCATGTATTTAAGGAGGAGTTAGAACGTTAAAAAAATACAAGTTTACACCTAGTCTCAAGCTCCACACATATAGATTGTCGTAGTCAGAGCCACGAGACATCCGTGAATTTCACAGTCAACATTTATCGTTTTATTCTTACTAACGTGCACAAGAAACCTCAAAGGTGATTGGGTTTTAAGGCAAAGAAAGAGAGACCGTAAAGGAGAACCATTTTATGATGGTCCATTTATTGTTGCAGATGCCACTCCTCATAATGGGTGTATACTTCGTACACCTGGAGAATTTACTCTTCAAAATGAGTATCATGGACAACAATTATTCCCAGCTTATGTTAGAGATGGTCATCCTGTAAGGTCTCTGTGGTATGGAAGCAAAACCTTACTGGATAGAGATAGACGAAAATTGTCTGAGGTTATATTACCCTATAATCACGCGGATGTCTGAGGTAGAAGAGGGGGATGGTGTGTATCCAGATCGCACGATCCTAAGGGGGCAGCTCGTGCAATGATGGAGATATGCAGTCGACCCCTACTTATGTAATCTCTTTAGCGTAATTGTATTCATAGGGAGTTTTTAGGTCAGAAAGCAATGGACAATTTACATCTGACTTAACGACTTACCCGGCATTCTGTGATACTAATTACAGGCGTGCTTTTAGTCCCTAGTCAACCGTAAGCCCCATTGAAACCGTACGCACAGGGTTCTCTGGATGGTTGGGCTTGGTATGATTCAACACATAGATGAAGTCTGGGGTGGTCCGGTCATTTAGGTGGGACGAGGCACTTGTACTTAATGGTAGTTAACCTGATCCGGCCCAACCCCACCCGTGCTTAAGCTTCAGTAGGAGTGCAACGGGAGTCACTATACCTAGCACGTAAATGAACAAAACAAAACACCGCAATTAATATTCCCTCTGTAGTCTCCAGAGAAGCATATAACATATTTCTATAAGCTTTTTTTTTGAGACAACTTAATGGATATGAAGTTTGTCAGCTCGCTCAAAGATCACAATTTCCAGTTTTGATAAGCATTTGGATCGTTATCATACCTAAAGTTGATCAGGCCACCATCGTAACGCCCGCAGATTTTTGTATGAAACTACGATGCTCTCCATCGCCGTTATCGTCCACTTTGTTCACATCATATTAAAAATACCGTCATATATAAGGGTTTCATTAAGTGTTTAGGTCATTTCCATCCCCTCATTTTCATCGTCACTGCCGTTGCCTTGTGTTTGATTACTTCCTGTACTCTCTTTGTGCCTTACTCCCCCCGCTCCAAAGCGACTTCCACCGAGACCTCCAACGTACTCTAATTCAAGCCCTAGATTGAAGAATTAGATGGTAGTTGAGGCTTTCAATAAGGATCACCATGCTTACCGCCAACTACACGGCCTTCCATGTCAATTTCTTGACTTAACTCTACCAATGATTCGCGAGATAACTTTAGAAACCCGTGGGTGCGTACAACTCGTCCCCAATGCATCAAACAGAAACTGGCTGCTCGTTTGCGAAGCCACTCTTCATTAGCAGTTTTGGAACAGTTCCAAATTGTACAAGCATGATCAACGTCTAATTCTTTGGCAAGTCTATTTACGCAGAGGAGGCGAAGATTGGGAATGTTGTATATATTAGACAAGACGAGCATTCCCGCAACATCAGACAAATCCAAGTGTTCTTCCGGCTGAATCATATCAGTATAAAGGTAGTGCAGGAAAGCTTTCACCACGTTATAGGGCTCTGGGATATGCATTCGCTTAGTGTGAAATTCTGCCATCTGAGCATTGTAAAGGCGTGCAAAATGGGGCCAGCGAGCCTGTAAAATAACTTTATGGACATGAATTGGTGGGGATGTAGTTGCATTCGGATCTAGCCAGCTGCCGGTAGATTCATCATGGCTTTCGAACATAATTTCATCACCGGACTCGCCGTCCTTACTGGCAGTTATAATGAAGTCGGCTCCACTCCCAGATTCTGGAGAAATATCAAACATTTTCACAAGGTCTGCACCGAGGCCTCTTGAGGATATTTCGGTGTTCGAGTCTGTAGGAGGAAGACACGCAAGCCGGCGTGAGTCGCGCGCATTAATGTCCCCAATTATTCCATATCTACGAAGATCTACCTCCATTATATCGCTGAGGTATTCTTCAAAGCCACCTGGCCCAAGATCCGTGGCGTTGGGTTCCGTTGGACAGCCTAGTAGCCATACCTTTGTACCATCGCCGTTAGTTGTGCAGTAGTGCCACCTGTATCCGAATCGAAATATATCTCTTCCTTCGGCTAATTTGTGCCACCGCAAGTTGTCGAGGTCAAGAGAGTATAGCGAACATTCTTGTAAGCTAATAGTTGATCCCGGAGTGACAAAATCTAAAAGAGTTCCAGAGGTGTAAGCGTGAAAATGAGTCCCGGATCCTTGCGATGGAATATCGGAACCAGAATGAAACCGCAAAGAAGAGATTGTTCCCGGTGCGATCGGAGGTGTACTTGTCAACTGGAATGATGGTACATTGACTTGTGCACTACTTGAGTTTGCAGCATAGCCCGTACTTCCCGTGACTGGGGTGGATGGTGTATGGAAGAGTTGTGATCTAGGAGAGCCAGCACTTAGCCTGCCGCTGGTAGAATTACGATCCATTAACCCAAGATCTGGAGTTGATTCGAACGCCGGACAACCCTTTAAATCTAACCACCAGATATCACCGATCTTATCCATCTCTTCCCCCATTCCACCAAATATCCATAGCCGATCGCCCCATATATAAGCCGAGTGGTCAAATCGTCCTACAAACTTCCAGGCTCGGGACCAGGTGAAGGTATTCAGGTCTAGGTAGCAAATATCTTCTAAGACATAGTTATTGTGACCAGTAATACCCCCTGTAATAAAGAGCTTGTCTTCATGAACTATCGCAGCATGTCGTGCCCTTCCTTTAGGTATTGGTCCATTTACTGTTGGTTGTGTCCAATACGCTGTCTCCAAGTCGAAGATGATTAAATCCGAGAGGTATGTCCGGTGCTCGTTTTCTCCGCCGAAAATTAACAGCTTGTCTTTTTCATACAGAGTTGCCGTGTGTCCTATGTGTTGCTTAGCCAGAGTAATTTGTGGTGGGAGTATTTACCCATCCGAACACCAGGAATGTCTCCGTAATTATCAACTAAGTTCCATTGATGAGTGATCATATCCAATCTCAAAACATGATTATAAACTTCATCTGTATATTGATCGAAACCACCGAAGGCGTAGATCTGATTGTTGCCGCAGTATGTCACTGAAGCGTTCACCAAGCAAGCTGGTCTCTGCCCTAACGTCCTGGTAATCTTAGGTCGATAGTTGTCTAGAGATTTGCGTTCTTTTGCAGGAGAATTCGGCATCAGGAAGGTGTTACTAGAGAGAGCTGTGGAACTTGGAGTAAATACCGAGTTGTTGCTGGACGCGGAGGGCGCAAGAATTGGGGTGGGGGTGCCAGTCCCCGGTGTTGAAGGTTGGGCCATCTTCAAAGGCCTTCAGTAGCTCATCGTGAGCGAATTTGAGGGGGATTTGCTAGAATTTTTTATAATATTCTAGCAAATGGATCTGAAGAATTTGGACGTAGGCAAAAACTGATAGGTCTTTAGAGTTCTATGGGTCATACCTACATCCAATAGGTCCACATAAAATCATGTAGGCTATGGGTTCGGGGCTTCCGCGAAGCATGGGTCCTATTGCTAGCAGACGTTGTCCCCCCAACCAAGCTAGTGTAATAGATATCAATAAATGACAAGAATTCCCACCCTCATTCACCTTCATCTATCCTGCCATCGCACTCTCAATCAAAAAATTGCTACACAAACTCCAAATTCCTAAAGCCTCAATCAACATATTTTTGAAATAATTTAAGAGAACCAGCTTTTGTTTTCGGTTAAGCAACAAATTGAACAACTTCCACTTGCTGATTCTGTGAATACTCAAGAGCATTAATCATACTTTACAAGGTACATTAATTTTAGTAATGATGAAATCATTCTAAGACTTCCACCATTTTTTCTGACTTAACTTTAGAATACCGTCAAATTTGAGTAGAGACCCTCCAGACATATTCCAATATGGCTACTCTCATATCCACACCCATTAAGTCTCACACGGGGATGTTTTCGACCCGAACTGCAGGAGGACGAATGCCCCTAACACCTTCTCCTCGCATTCGTCACAATCACAACGTGCACAACATGCCTACAAATACTACTCCTGATCTAAGGCAACATGACTACGAATGTGCTAAGGGTACGGCGTCAGTTTATGGTGGAAATTTAGCCTCTCATTTCTCCAAATTAACCAACAACAGTTTGCGTCGCGACTCGCCCAAATCAAACATAGCTCGTGGTGCTCATACGCCTCGGAGGGCTCTTGAATTAGGAGTATCTGATTTTACCTTGACTGGAACTGGTGTAAAAACTCCTCGCAGCAAAAGGAAGGTTCAGCCAAAAGCCCCCCAAAGACAAACGTCATTAAAGAGTTCACTCTCATATGGAGATCGTTTCATACCCAATCGTACCGCCAGTGCAGCCATTGCCACCGCTGGCCTAGGGAAAATTGAAAGCGGTGACAAGAAACCAAAGACAACCAACGGTGAAAGCTCATCAGTACTTTCATCCTCTGTTGACGATGCACTCAACGCTATGAATTCTTTAACCTTGAGCGATGAAAAATCTATCACATATTCCAGGACGTCACCAAATTCAGTCGCTTACCAAGACTCTATAGCATCAGCTTGTGGAGTATCGCTCAATCAACGTATACTCGCCTTTAAGCCTGCTCCACCAGAGTCATCAAAGCCACTCGACCTTCGTTCCCAGTACAACCGTCCCTTGAAGAACGCAAACAACGCATCTTCTCAAGCTAGAAGGAGGGTAGCCACAGCCCCTGAGCGTGTGCTTGATGCTCCAGGTCTCATAGATGACTACTACTTAAATCTCCTCGATTGGTCAACAGGAAATCAAGTTGCTATTGGGTTAGAGCGAAACGTATACGTTTGGTCCGCAGAGACCGGGACAGTGAGCTCATTACTTGAAACTAGTCCCGATACCTATATAAGTAGTGTGAAATGGTCTGGAGATGGTGCTTACGTCAGCGTTGGCCTTGGAACTGGTGAAATCCAGATATGGGACGTTGAAGAGGGATCTAAACTTCGAAGTATGCATGGGCATGACACACGAGTAGGAGTAATGGGCTGGAACAAACACACCCTTTCCAGTGGAGCTCGATCTGGGCTTGTGTTTAACCACGACGTTCGCATCGCTCAGCACAAAACTGCCGAGCTGGTTTCTCATACATCTGAAGTATGTGGTCTCGAATGGCGGGCCGATGGTGTACAACTTGCTACTGGGGGGAATGACAACTTAGTCTCAATCTGGGATGCCCGATCCCTCGCCGTTCCCAAGTTTACTAAAACAAATCATAAAGCAGCTGTAAAGGCTCTCAGCTGGTGCCCTTGGCAACCAAACCTCTTGGCCACAGGAGGTGGCTCGTACGACCGACACGTACATTTCTGGAACACAACTACTGGTGCTAGAGTGAACAGTATTGACACCGGATCTCAGGTAACTTCCCTTCGATGGAGTCAGAATTACAAGGAAATTGTAAGCACAAGTGGTTTCCCAGATAATTCGCTCAGTATATGGTCCTACCCGACCTTGGTTCGTAACATAGAGATCCCTGCACACGAGACCCGTGTTCTACATAGCTGCCTCAGCCCTGATGGTCAAATGTTAGCAACGGCCGGTAAGTCAGACATAATTTTAAGAGTCAAGGTCTAACTTTCTTCAGCGGCTGACGAGAGTCTAAAGTTCTGGAAAATATTTGAGAAGAAAGCAGGCTCTTCTTCATCTGGAAGCTCTGTCACGTCTGAAAAGACGACCAATACCATGGTCAAGCAAATGACCATACGATAAATAATGCCCGTAACGGGAACAGATCTTCATAGAATTGGGAAGGCAAAAATCGATATCCATATTATAATTTCTGTGTATAGTAACTAAATTCTTTTCATGCCGTTTTATGCATCTGTTCGTTGTCCCAAAATGTGTAAGGCTATGTAAGTACACATAGGTCTTTTCTGCCGATAGGCCGGCAGTATTTATACCTCGGGTAGTGTACTCCCTCTTATACCTCCTTCACGACTTCTTTCCACTGGCAACACCCCCCACAGGTCTTCATTCAAGTACACACGAAGAGGAGCGGTTATCCCGTCATCCCGTCATTATCTTCCCCTCTCCAGCCAACGAAACAATGGCCATTTGCGGGTGTGTAGCTGCAGGCAAAAGTCTCAAAGACAATTGAGTGCAGGGGTCTCCTATGACGAAGAAGCCGGCCAGCCAGGCGCAGCAGACTTGTGTACACCTAAGAGTGCCTCTCAGCCTTCCTAACCTCATCCTTACTCCTACCCTGATTCATGCCACAGGAAAAACTGAAGATCATGAAAGGATGTCAGAAAAGTCTCGGTCGAGAGTGACTGCCGTGAAGGAGCCTAGCCCAGCATCCAAAAGTCGTTACGGACGTGGGGTTGTCGAGTAACTCTTGTGCTTCAGATGCCCTCCTGGCTAATAAATTCAGAAGGTTAAATCAGAACGGACTATAATTTTGACGAGTCGAAATCTGCTTTTCTTGAGGGCGGAAGGGTCTTTTACTTTGCTTTCGTGGGCTTTTTGTTCGCCCGTCGGTGGGTAGCACATGTTGTAATATAATAAGGACTTCTCTGACTACCTTTGTAGCGTTTGGTACCGCATTATCTTTCCTCGTTCCCAGTATTATTATCGTCGTCTTGGTCGTCATGTGTGTTATCGGGAGCGTATCTTTGACAGAGGGGGAGACAACTCAGCTCAAAGTTGAAAAGTTGTTACTCAATCTCGGCTCTGCAGACTCTACAGTGAGGGCCGGAGGTTCGTAGGGGACACCACTGACAGGTATTGAGAAAAGTCCCCGCCCGTTTTGAGGAATTGCAATCATCGTCAATGGAACTCAATCGGAGGCTACCCAAGTTTAAACTGCGTTGATGTGCTATGGTATTGTTCACAGTGTAGCAGGACGTCATTTGTAGTTGTCTAATTCGGTTAGCCACTTCGGCTTGTGACGTTGAATTACTAAGCGAGGCTTAGCCCCCAATCAAGCTTTAGTCAGACACATGTAACAATTACAATTACATGTCGAAGCTCTTCACTACATAGAGCTACCCCAGCCAATAACCAACTTATTGAAATATTCGGACATATGACTGACAGCTTAAACAGCACGATCGGCGAATACTGGGCAACGAACTTTCTTAGCCAAGCAGGTGCCAATTATCATTGTTAGCAAAGTATAAGGCTCTACTCTCACGGCTCCACAGGTTTCCTCTATTCTGACAGCATCACGAATAAGTATTCCCGAAATCGCACTGAATTTCAACTCCTATTCTCTGGAAGGAATAATTGGATTTACTAGATTCTCAAATAAACTCGGCATAGTACTACTATCTCGGTCTCCGACCTTCGCAATCGTGCAATTCATCTTTACCTAGAACAAATTTATTACGAAAATGTCGAACACTCAAGTCGGTTCAATCTATCAACAAATTATCGCAGATGTCATCGAAAGTTCTCGAGTTGATTTTGAAGAAATGGGTGTTGATGAGAATGTTCTTGAGATGTTAAGACAGGTATAAATCCGTCATCTACTACGTTCAATAGAAACCTCACTTAAATCATTTATTCTATTCCTCAATAACATTATACGAGAGCAGTCGCTTCAAATAAAGAGACCAAAAATGATCCTATATAATCTGGCAGTAGGACCTGCTATGAGGTACTACCGGCTACCCACCGCTGAAGCGCACTAGGTTTCTAGCTGGCCATCTTACAGCCTTGCCTTTTCATATCCTGCCAAGACACTAATTCGCACCCAGCACATAGTAGTCACGTGCAATCAGATACAGTTCCATGATGTTGATTAATGTCAAAAACTAACATGCAGATAGGGATGGCAAAAAAAACTTTCACAACTCGAGGTAGCGAATTTTCCTTGGGATCCAAAACCAGAACCAATCCTGCCAATGAACAACCCATCGAATATTCCCTCCAACCTAAATAATTATCAACATGTTGGAAACCAAGGGATTTCTCACCAACCTGTTCAACAGTTAAATATGATGAACAAAAATGGATCTATAATCAAATCAGAGCAAGGACCGGATAATCAATCAATATCCCAGTTTGGGAACCAGATTCCTAACCTTCCAGCGACGACGACGACAGCTCAGCAACGCGCCGCTGCTCATTTACATAATAATTACGGTCCTCGTGCTGCGGCTTCTATCAATGCAATACACCAAGGAGCTACTCACGGCCAGGTTAGCTCTTCCATCCAACAAGTACAGATGTTACAAATGATGCAACAAAAACAACAGCAAAATCTTCATCATCAACAGCAACATCAACTTCAGCAGCAACAACACCAAAAGCTACAGCAACAACAGCAACAACAGCAACAACATCAGCAGCAGCAGCAGCAGAAACAACTAGAAACCTCGCAGAAAGGCATTGATTCTGTCCAAAACTCGTCAAGCCAACAGCAGTCTACCAAACAAGAGTATCCTATGGAGCAAATCATTGCTACTTCATCTATTAGCCCGCAGGCTGCTCTGCAAAAGAGTACAACAAGTGATATTAGTAATGCTCAGACAGATGGTACAAGCGAGAATAGAGAAAGCTTAGATCAGGAAACGATGTCGGGTAACGATTGCAACCAATCGACGATCAGACGTCAAGAAATTGATTGTTTAATACGGCAAAAAATTGAAGCGATGGGATCTACCATGGAAGGTGGTGGAATCATGCTTCCGCTAAATCAAGTTACCGCTACCCCTTTCAAAATAGGCCGAGCAAAAATTTCTACAAATGAAACCAGAGCTCAAGTCGATGGTGGCGACGATGATGCCGACGATGCAAAAGATGAAGAGCTTGACGAAGATGCGATAAATTCTGATCTTGACGATCCTGACGAAGGTCTCAATGAAGAGGACGAAGAAGAGGATGGTATGGGTCATATTATGCTCTGTATGTATGACAAGGTCCAGCGGGTTAAAAATAAGTGGTAAGAAGCTCTTTAAAGCTTAGAATCATCAGCTGTAATTAATGTGAGAAAATACTTACCTTAAAATAGGAAGTGTGTGATGAAAGATGGTGTCTTGACGGTCAATAACAAAGAATATGTCTTTCATAAAGCATCTGGAGAATATGAGTGGTAAAATTTCGATGCCCGGATCTATCTTCACACAATCTCAGTTGTCTTCTTTATCTGCATCAATAGTGATGTCCTCAATTATCACCTCTGGACTACTAGACAAGATTTCTGGTCCTCGTATTCTCTTGAGAATAGATAAGTTGTAATATCTCTGAATACATGTACACATACGCAAATTTTGACGATTTAAGGTTCTCGATTGGTTTACCACATACTTTATCCACCTTCATGAAAAAAGATATTGACAGTCCACTGCCAAATTCAGAGTGAGCCCGATTTATTAATGGCAGAAAATCAAATAAAGTAGACTAGAGAACGTATCGAATTATACAGGGATACATTAAATTCTGAGGCTCATAGCCAGGAATAGTAATTTCGAGGAAATTACCCAAAAGGTCAAGGTTTTTGTTACGTTTTGTACAATGATAAAGGGGATACCGATTCAAATTCTATTGAATTTTTCCAATGGGTTAGGCAGGAGAGGCTATATAATATTGAATGGACTATATCGATGAGTGATGGGCAGGTTTAGATTCATATAATTTTCTTTTATGTACCAGAAAGGGTAATCCAGTTGGGTCTAGTCTTTCTACTTTTCCAGTCTATTTCTATCGCATGACGAACAGTCGAAGCTTTAGCCAATTTAAAATAGAGTTTTCTATTTGATAGAAAGTGTGGACATCTTTCTAATGGCTAGATACTTTGTATTATAAATGAACTCGTGGCACCTTCAAAGAGATATGATCTTTAGGTTACAAATTTATTCTTTCGTGCGAGGAGCTGCTATCGCATTGTGTGGGTTAACTGCTGGAGATTAATTCTAATAATTTCTGGTGAAAAAGATTCGCTTAAAATGAGAACAGGAATATTCTTAGGATTCCCAAATTTTTAGTTTTTAATTTTTTTGAAATCGTGTAATGTGTATGTAGCTATAGAGCTATGACACATGACCGGTACCATGTATACATATTGCATGACTCTTTTGACGTTAGAGACACTCATACTCTGGATTTCATTCGCAAATACCACTATGAGGTATGCTTGCTTACACAAACAGTCGACCCTCCTCCGTAACTACCCACCCAAGGGAATTTAAAAACCTTTGATTATCCAAGCATGCCTTCGTCATCCATGCATACCAGCGCCGCGAGAAATGTGGTTGTGTTTTGCTGGATTTGAACCAGCGATCTACTGTCTCGAGTGGGATATGTGTCCAAGCTATCCAGACTCTACTTGGCAGACCAGCCAAGACGATGTACCACCGCACCATCCAACCATGGCAGTGTTTATAGTGTCGCCTGCACTCTCGCAACCGAAGTCTTGGCACGCACAAAGCTCAATTAGAAAAAACTCCTTGCCAGAATTCCAAACTCCACGCCCGTCGAGACTGAATCCATCCTTCGCATCATCTTCTTAACTTGTCCTGACCCCTCTCACATCCATCCCAAGGAATTTTCTTCCAGATTTGTGCTCCACGCTTTGCTTCCTCCGTCGGGTATAATATCGGTGTGGGCGTGTATTTGGTGACCGGCTGAGGCCAGAGAAAGTCGACAAGAGGTTTGATAATTGGGATGAGGACGTACTTGGTCCTACTTTTAGACTTCATGAAGCTTAGTTGAGAATCGGACTCTTTGAGAGTGAAAGATTGACATGATGGAGTAATTTGAAATTTTGCCTCGTGGGCCAACTTCTTTGATATTGCGAAATTTGACTGAACTTGGCTCTGGGAGAATATTTCACTCCCAGGTTCGTAGAGGACACCGCGTACAGGTGTTCAGTCTTGCCCTCCAATTGCCTAGCACGTTAACATACAGACAAACGATAAATAAATTCTCACTACTTTCAAAATCTTATTCACTGATTGCATAATCTTGTTCAATCGACCAGAGCTCTTGACCTTCAAAGATGTTTTTATTACCTTCCAGCTATGCCAGTGTAATCGCTCAGTATTTTATGTATATTTGGGGTAGCCAAGAATAATCGCATCCAGATCGAAGCCCAAAGCAATCACAATCTCACACACAATCGGCGACTTCTGATTAATGTTAGTCGTGTCGTTCTCACGCGATTCCAATAAGTTAAACTTACCATACGCCACCTCGCGTCAGCGACCGACAACGTATTACTCCAGCTGTTAATAGGAGATTGCCTCATCAATTACTGGCCATAGTCCACTACAAATTCTAGACGCTATTTATACCCGCAAGGATGAGATTAAGTCATAACGTACAAATCTTAGGTCTTGGTTTATGGGGGATTGCTACTCTCATGGGACAAACAACTTGAGGAAGGACAGGTAACTGGGTCATAGAATGAGTTAAGGAAGATACTTCTCGTGCGAATGATAGGTCTCATATTTACGAGATATTTTCGAATTTGAAAGGTTTGTGGGTGCCGAGACCGATATTCCTGCTGATAAGCCGGAAGGACTGCCACTATCGATGAGTCTACGGCACTCCTGAGTACCCCAGACAGTACAAAAGAAGTTGGGCTAAGTTACCATACAGCAATCACGCTCTGTCAAGACCTTTCTGACATTTCAGCACGCCCTTCAGGAAGGAGTTGGAAGGAGGCTAGAAAGACACAGTGTGAATTTCCCGAGGTACACACAAGTCTGCCGCGTCCAGCTGGCCGGCCTCTTCGAACGCTTCAGAAGGGGCAATATGTCTTCGGACTTAGTCCTTATGTCGGTATTAGAAGAGCCCCGCACCCAGTGGTTTTTGCGATTTTTCCCGGCTGTCACACGCCCGCAAATAGCCATCGTTTCGTTGGCTGGAGAGGGGAGATGATGAAGGGCAAAGGGCTCCTCTTAGTGTATGATCGAATGAAGACTCGTGAGGGGCGGTACTGTTTGAGGGGAGCTGTATGGGAGGCATAGGAGGGGATATACTACTGGTATAGGTATCCTTGGCCTGTGGGCAGAGAGGGCCTGGATTTCTTTCACAGTGCTAGACTATGAAAACACAATAATGTACAAAAATAAGCGGCTGAAAGAGTAAACTTGTCTTATTTTGTTTTCATGGGTATGATCTCTCCTTGTAGGGAACACCAAAGATTGGGAATTTTCTGAGGACTGGTATCGGTCCAAACCGCTAGTCAGTGCAAAGTTTCGTCCTTGTACTGGATTCAGAATCATATCGTAAATCAAACAATAGTATTTTATCTCTTGATCTCGTTTGTAGGTTTCACAGGGTACAGTAAACAGTACTGAGTATTCCGGTAAGTGTGTATATATTTCTATCTGTCTAAGTCTAACTACTGTGCTTTAGGAAATACTACAAGGCTAACGAATTAGCCTCGCTTACTAAGGTCGCACTGATATCCTCCCATGCTCCCCTTACTGAGATAGTCTATTTGTTACAACATCGTTTGAATTCATTTATTCCAATCAGGTACCCCTTGGGTCCATGCAAATAAACTTAGCTTTAATATTTACAAAGGAGAAAATGAATGGGACAAAAACTTCTTCAACTTATCTTCCATATTTCTATTAGTTTTTTAGGGATTCCTACAGGAATGGCGTTTATACTGTTCATCCAATGCAAATACTCTCCTATCATTTACCTGATTGCTTCATCTTTTCATCCACTATTGTTTGAACTTGTTCGACAAGCCGCAGCTGTTCAGAACATCCTCAAGAATATACTTTTTAAATCTCTACATACTATTAGGGCTGTTCTGTAAAAGGACTGATCACGATAGCTGTCCGCATAGGTGAATCCAAAAATAAAGGTTTATATTCTGTATAACGGAAGAACTACACGAGCTACACAATTGAGTATCTACTAAGTCTTACGTAAGTCACTTCAAGCCTGACTATTCAATGGTCACGTGAGCAATCGTTACATGTGGAATCGGATAAGTCCGATTCTAATCCTACAAGGCCCTAAGCCTGTAACATTACCTCTCCCCCCTCTTTTTGATTTTTTTTTTCTTTGGAAGCATTGGCTAACCAAAATATCTTACTTAGTTTGATTAGTTATCGCGCGCGCCAGTAATGCGCGCTTTGTGACTTTTCGTCGCCCAATAATTGATCCTGTGACTTCGCCAACACCATCCTTTTTACCGTATTTCTTTTCAAATACGTCCAGCTCTTTTGTATCGTCTAGATTATCTCTTTTCTCCCATGTGGGTTCTGCAAATCCTTTCCATTTTACCAGAACTAAGCGTTGATGGCCCCGACCGATTCTTTTCTTCTCTGCCCTTAGAATCCTGTCAACAAACTGATCCGGCTCACAATTATCATCTTTATTTTGTTGCCCGCCATCGGGAGATTTGGGTGCGACCGGTGGTGGTTGAGCATCATCGATAACTTGTGATGGTAGTGGGTCAGTAGCGGCCCTTTTTAATATATCGACATGGAATCGTGGCCAAATTCCTGATGGTGTATTTAGCTCTACACAATGGGAATCTAAAACTTTAACGACCTCGTATTTTGCATTAATCCACGAAAGCTTTTTGGATAACTGAGGTGTTTCTATGTTCTTTAAATTTAGCCAGACAAGATCGCCCTTTTTGAATATCTCTGCTTCTTTGCGGCTTCGATTTGCGTACTCCTCCATCCTATGCTGTGACGATGCCATTGATGCTTGTGCAAGCTCTTCTGCTTCTCTAAGTCTTTCAACAAACTTTTGCGCATTCTTCTCCGGTCTTGATGGGGTGCTGCTATATTCAATTTGTTGAATTGGCTCTACATGATAACCATGTTCAGCAAAAAATGGGCTCATTCCTAACGCTGCTGATGTTCTATTATTTAATGCCAGCATTGCGCACGGAAGCAAATCTTTCCAGTCAAACTGTGTATAAGTAATAAATGCTCTTAGGTACGCTAAGATTTCCTGATTCATTCTTTTGGTGGCACCGTCTGTTTGTGGGTGGAAAGCCGTTGATAAGCGCTGTTTCATTCCCGTTAGACGGCACAGCTCCGTCTAAAAATCTCCAACCCAATTCGATCCTCTATCCGAAGTGATATAATTTGGAAATCCATGATACCTCACATGCAAC